AGCCAACCTGGACCCTGTGATCATCATCATCTGAGGCAATGCTTTTCTAAAGAAAGAAAGGTACCGGTATGCAACACAAAGCTGTTACAGTAAGTGTCACACTTTTAACATTTGAAAGGAAAAGGTGCTGGTGGTGCATACCGTTGAGTGCCCCCAGAAAAAAGCACTGATCTGAGGCCATTCTTTGTGTGCCCCCTCCATGAGAGGCAGTTTGATTATTACTTCCTAAGATTAAAGACTCCAGTGTACTTCCTAAAAAGAAAGTCCAACTGCATTTAGTGGGGCTCAGTTCTGGGCTGCAAAATGTGGAAGGTTTGTCCAAAGCAGGGGTGGGCAGCCTGTATTCCAAGGGTGCATGAAGCCCTTAGTCCAATTTCAGATGGGTGGGAGAGCCAGAAGGAGAGGTGGGTAGGAAAAGGCCACAATGGATGGAGCAATGGAGCAAAGCTGGATGGGTTTTAACTTGTTTGCTGTTGACTCTGCAGCTCCCTTGTTGTTCTGAGTTAAAATTTCATTGTACTTCTGGCCAGTGGCGGAGCTTCATGGTCCGACACCAGGGGGCAGAGAGCAGGCGGGGGTGAGGCTTGCGTGCATTCCGGGGGTGTGCCGTGCCACCCACAGGGGCATGGCACCCAGCGCAGGCAGGGAGCAGCCGCGATGGCATCCCACCAGGATCGCGCTGCCAGGGGTGGTGCGCTCCCCCTGCACTCCTCTTCCTCTGCCACTGCTTCTGGCCTTGCCCCCCACACCACACCACACCACCTTGCTATTGCATATGAAAGGCAGCATAGATATATTTAGGGCTTTTTTTCAGCCGGAACTCAGTTTCAGCACCTCTCAGGTGGGCTCTATTGCCATTATAAGAAAACAAGGGAGGTGTTCATACTGAGCTCCAGCACATCTTTTTCTATAAAAATAGCACTGGATATATTTAAATAAATGAATGAAAAAGGTAACATGATACCTAGTAGGAATTAACATGTAACATTCATGTTACATAAGCACTGGTTTCTCTGTGCAATTAACCAGAGTTGTTTATACCCACAAACATGCAAACTTATTCCTGTGAATGAACTTAAATTATGGGCAAATAAGAAGTGGACATTGGATGTGGATGGTGGGAAACATGGATTTCTGTCTAGATGAAACCAGTCATCTATGCTACCACATATGATATGAACAAACCAAAAAGTTATCTTTGACGTGTTCAGAAAATTCCAGCGAAGGGATATTCTTGAGCACCCATGAGAATAAATTGCCCCATGTTATATAGCAGATGCAAAATTTCCTCATGATCTTAATAGGTACAAAAAGGAGGCTTCCAAAAGCCCACACACATTATAAATGCCAGAGGATTTTAAACCTCACAGACTGGCACAGCTCACTCATTTTTCGTCTTCTTGTGAAACTCAACTTAAAACGTCTTTGGCACAAACTGCACAAAGACAGGAAATAAAACACAGCCTCGCCCTTTGCAAGTTACTGACAAGGCTGTCATTCATTTTCTACAGAAAAGTTTTCAAGTAAAAACTGAAACTTTCTGAACTGAATAGTGCAGTGCTTGAAGAGGGTGTGTTAAAAATCTTGCGGCATCCATTAGATAGGTGAGATCACCTGCCTTGGGTAGCAGCTATCAGATCTGAAGTATTATTAAAGAACACAAATGGTCAATTATTTAAATATTTCATATTTTTACCATAGGGTGAGGCAACATCTGATATCAAATATATTACGATTTAATTTAATAAAATCTGTGACATTCTTACGCTGTTATGGAAAAGCTTTTGACTAAGAATGCTTCCAGATGGAAGCTTAATATTTAAACAGACTGGTGAAATATCATAAATGAGTTATTGGCAACAGGGTTGTTGTTTTTTAAAAAAGTGTGTGTGTTTGTGTGTGTGTGTGTGTGTGTGTGTGGTATTGGGTTTCCACTGCAAAGGATAAATCTGGATTAAATGTGGGGGGATATGGGCTAGTGTTTTAATGGCACGGTTGTGTGGGTATGGCACAAAAACCGACAACACTTCCATGCATGGGGAGCACCAGTTCCACAATAAACACCTGTCTGAAGCAGTGCTTGAAACTCCCATTGTTCTAGGCGCATTTTGTGACAAGGCATTTCATTAGCGAAAGCGGTTTCTGAGCTTTTTACAGAATCCCAAATGTACATTGGTAGTTGCCAGGCTGGTAATCAAAAGAGGAATATGTTACCGAGTTTGTTATACAGATCCAGGTCATCAGTAGACTGACAAGCCCCAACAAAAGTAGGCCCCAGCAAAAGATAATACAACTCTCTTAAAGGCTAAAGATAATGAATCCCTGAAGTAATTCCCAGAGGTTTTGAAAATGGAAACCAGCCAATTGCATTTTGAACTATCAAGTCTACACAGAGAGTTATATTTCTCCTCCAAAACACACCCACATCCACAGGCTGCAAAGCGAGTTAACAAAATCTCTATAAAATTTGGGGAGTGAAAGAGCAGGGACACAGAGGCAAAAGCGTGCAGACTAAACTCCACTCCTACGGAATTAAGTTCAAAAGCTGGTGTCTTTTGTTCTCCTTTTCCCATGTAATCTGACACTGTTAGTTTAAAATCAAGGCAGATTAAATTGCCAGAAGGGACATACTGCTCATTATTAGTTAACATGTCTACTGGAGAGACATTTTGCCATCATGGCAGCCAGAACCAATTAACTCCCTTTGATTCCCACATGCGTGGGAATGAAAGGCGGGAAAACACATGACTATGTCTTGGGACTAATGAGTTCAACTAGGAAAAGATAATATTAATATTATTATGGGGGGGGGGGGAGAGACCTTGAACAAGTCCACAGCTTGTTATGAACTCTGTACATCAGTTCAGAAGAGCCTTTTTCGGAGTTATAAATTTTATGCAGGGCCAGTGAAATAGAAAGCTCCACAGTAAGCACTGAAGATGGGAGCTTCCTCGCAACAAGGTGTGCCAGAGGAACAAAAGGTGATCCCACTGCATGGAAGGGCTACACAGTATATTTTGTGCCCAGAATACCTGAGCTAAAATATATTGCTTTCGAAAAACTTTATTTATATACCCACTCTGGGACCTTATGGTGAACCACAGGTAAGATATTGAACAAATAACAACAACAATTCAGACATTGCAAAATCATTCAGAAATCATTCAGTAAGAACACTTACTGCCAATACATAATGAAGGATATTTTTATAGCTGGGATTTGTTGCTTCATAAAGCTGTACGCTGGCTCCCTCGGCCAATAAAGCGAGATGAGTGCCGCAACCCCAGAGTCGTCTGCGACTGGACCTAACAGTCAGGGGTCCCTTTACCTTTACCCTCAAAATACAATGCTGCATTTATTATTTATTTGACATTTATACCCCACATTTCCACAATAAAGTAAAACGGAAGGTGGCTTGCATATAAAAATATAAACCACAACAAAAATTAAAAGCAATCCTGACAATGCAAACGATAAAACTAAATTTGCAGTTAAGAGGGAGGGGACAAAACAGAATTATTTTTAAAAACAACAGCAACAACACAGTATCAATATTGTTTACTATGTTACTTCCGCATTAGCTTCTAGGTAGGAGGTGAGTTCTTGGGTTAGGCAAGAATGGGAATGTGTATCCACTGCAGCATGTTAAAACGGCAACCCTGGGTTCAGAAGTTAGCCAGTGTCCCCTGAAAAGTGTGCGGACGATTGCACCCTGAAACAGAGCGGAAAGGCATTCTGCACATGCTTAGGGTCTCTGGGAACCTTTTGGAAAAACTCCTAACAGGAACAAGTGTTAAGAGAGTAGGGCCAGGGTGAGGCTCTCCTGAACTAAGCCACGCCTGACCCGGATGGCCGTTTACAAGCTATATGTGTTTACATCAATTGGTGCTCCATTCCAGCGTCTCCGAGCAGCCCCAGACGCCCCAGTGGATTGTCTCAGTCAGTCGAAGTCTACCAGGAAACGCGAGAGAGGGCGGGGCGGCGGGTCCCGAAGGAACGCAACCTGCGTCACACTTGGAACAACCGCTCACCTCCCCCCTGCGGATCGCATCGCCCACCGCCCGCCCCTTGGTTGCTAGTAGCAACGAAGACGTTACTGCCCTCTCGGCCAATAATAAAGGCGTCTAGGCGCGGTAGGCCTAGAGGCTTGAGGAAAAGGAGGCAGTCCTCACGTCCGGCTGCCGTTTGAACACCGCGTGCGGGGAAGATGCCTTATTCCAAAGCGAGGGAACCGCTCTTCCTTGGGATCTCTATGGTGCTCCGTCGTGCGTCGGTTGAGCCACGAGTTCGACGCGGAACCAGAAATGTTTGTCGCGGGTGGTTGAGGCGGTTCCCGTGCCTTTGGGCTGCTATGGTGGTCCCCGCTGCGGGTTGGGCAGCTGAGCCCGGCAAATAGAAGCAGGGAGGCAAGGCAGGTGAGGGACCTTGGGGGCAGGGATGTGGAGGGAGGGGCGCTGAGGAAGGAGGAACTCTTTCAATTTGGGGCTTTTAAAGTGCGGGATGGCGGTGGGTAAGGCGGGACGTGATGGGGGACGTAGAAAAATCGCACGTGGTGTGGGGAAATAAACAAGTTTTTTCTCTTCCTCTCCTAGTACTAAAATGCCCCCCGCCCCGAACGGGATATTGGAAAATTCAGTGCAACTTTTTCTCCCAGTGTAGAGTTGGAAGGGGCCCCAAGGGCCATCTAGTCCAACCCTCTGCAGTGCAGTTGCTCCTCAGAGGTTTTGCATTTGCAAGGCGAGGTTGCTTAGTTACTCCCAAACATCTCCAGCAGGTGCTTAAACAGGCCCGAGCTAACATTCATTAAGCAAGTTCTAGGGCAGCTCCGCCTTATGAAGATCCTGGATCAGCTGAAGTCAGATTTGGCAGCTGCCTATCTGCTTTAAGCTAAGGGAGGAAAGGGGAGTATAGGAATGCAATGTTCACCTTTACAATAATCCCATGATTTCTAGTCCTAGACAGATTGGCGGTGGTGGTTCTTCAATTCTGACACTAGAAGAATGTCTGAATTAAAATTTCGGGAGGTGCTGCCCAAGCAAGGTGAGTGACTTTTCCCAGCATTCATCAAAGTGCACTTGCCAAGCTTTTCAAGTGGCTGTTGTTGTGTCTCCTGTGCTTACCCCTTGTGATCCCCCCTTCTTTTTGCCAAGTTACAAAGGTTGCATGGGGTTTCACCTTATCACACTACAAGTCGGCAGCACTCTTAGGGTTGTGTCTCTGGCAAATTCTTTATCAGCACTGCAAGATTTTATATCCTGCACTTTCTCCCCACAGCGTGATTAGGGCAGCTAACAGGATGCAATTTGGTGAAATCATAGCCAGTATACGATACTATAATTTGAGGACAATTACAAAAAACAGTGCCTGAATGTACCTATTGCCTTCTGGAGCTCTGGACAAATACAACTGTATTCAAATTCCATCAGAACACGAGCAGGGAAGGGGACTGTCTGGAGAGACAGGGTGCTAACACAGAAGCAGCCCTCTTGTGCATTCTCACCTTCCTAGGCATCCACAGCAATGGTATTGCAAGAAGAGTCTCTTCCTGATTGTAAACTGTGCATTGGGGCATACTGAGAAAGGTGTTCCTTCAAGTACTTGGGCGCCTAGTACTTAAGATATCTGTATAATAGTACCAATACTTAATAGTACCAATACCTTAAATTGGACCAGGTAGCTCACCAGCAGCAGTTAAATACTCTCAGAATTGATGTGATGTTCTCTCTGGCCATCTACAGATGTCTGAGAAACATTACATTGCAGGGATTTTTCCATGTAAGGAAATATGTTGTTAATATGTAACACAGGATCAGACATGTTACTTCAAGGTAACAGTTTACCACTGGCCTTGTTACAATGTTGAGATCTGAATGCTTCCTTACGGAGGATTATGGAGCCTTTATTCTTCTCTTCATAGAAAGTAGCCTGTTTTATAACTATTAATAGTTTTACACCTGTTCAGCTCTTTCATGCTCTGCATCCTGTATTATATATCTCCCCTTAAGTATTTAAGAAGGTGAATAGATTAGGTTCTTTCAGCAAGGCTTGCCCTTTGGCCCTTATATTGGAGCATATTTGTGCTAAGGGGCTAGTATCACACTTGAACTCCATTTTTTTAGTGCAGGTACACAAATGGCCCAATAATATGAAAAGCTTTGATGCAAGTACTATACCAGTGGCTGCCAAAAATATGAGGTGCTTAAATGGAGACTTCCATGTGTACTGCTCTACACAGCTGTCATATTTCACAGCTGAATAACTCGGAGAAGTGGGTTTGGTGGCATCCACATGGAACTGTAGTGTTTGAACTTGCAGATATATTCTTGAATATATATTTTATGAGCTTTGTAATTATCTTTGGTTTCTCAATTTTTCTTGTTTTAGGGATGTTAGCAGTAGAAGATGTGACTACTATGGTGTTATGCAAGCCAAAGCTGCTACCTTTAAAGTCAGTTACCTTAGAAAAGCTTGAGAAAATGCAACGTGAAGCACAGGAAACTATTCGACAGCAGGAACTACTTGCTCAGCAATGTTCAAACTCTGAATTCATTCAATAGTTTACTTAATGGAGTTTCTGTACTGCTGTATCAATGTATATAGCAATATGATATGCTGTGTAAAACATTACACATAAACAGGATAGTGGTTGTAGATTCTTACAAATTTTCTCAATTGTACTGCTCTCTTTTAAAATATATTCAAGTATGTAGTCATTTAAATCCAGGTAATCTTTTAAAAAATGGCATTCAGAATCCTGCTCCAGTATTTCTGTATTTTTTTTCATATCATAGGTCAACTTAGCAGCCTTACATACGTTACTGAACCTTTAACTCAGCATGGGGAACCTTTTTGGCCCAGCAGGTCAGATCATTCACCTCTGCAGGACAACTCTTGACAGGTGGCAGCTAATTTGCCTGTTACCCAATATCATAATGATGCTGGATGATTGCCATGAGGGTTGCCACACCCACCAGCCCATCCCTTGTGCAACACTTGGGAACCACAATGCAAGTGGCTTTGCCAGCCCTATGCTCAGAAAATTGCAGTGTATTGGGCTGACAAAGCTGCTTTCTACGGAGATCAGCTGAGCAATTGGGTTTCCCAAGGTTTAGGTTTAGAAAGGTTGACATTAATAAAACTTGTTTCTATACTATTAAATATACCAATATGCTAAAGAGTACTATTTTGTGTTGTCTTGAATTATTCATTTGTACTGTCACTCTTGCATTGATAAGATGAGCAATGAAACAATGAAAACATTCAGTATACACCCTTCTGTATGTAGACATGTCTAGGTTCATGAGAATTTAAGGTGTTTTTTAAAAAATCTATTCTATCTAATTCATACACATGCAGAGATTACTTTTAGAAGGTAAAGTACTGGTACCATAACTTTAGGCTGTAGGTTCCTTGGACTCAGGACTGGCAAAGGTCGTGCAAAGACAGGCTGGCTCCTGTTATTCCATTTCCTGGCAGAGAACCATGCTGCTGGGTGTGGGGTTGCCTCTGAATTCTGCTTTATATGTCTAATAGCTTTTCATGTAACAAGGAAACATGCTCTGCATGCATTCTAACTGAGCCAATCAGTACCAGCTGTGGCTGGATACAGCCAAAATATTCCCAATCTTCTACTAACTCGTATGCAAATTCCTTCTACACTTCTCTTTTTTTACAGCTAATCTTCCATCAACTTTGTCTGCATTGATTCTTACATTAAGGCTTTTAACCATGGCTGCAAACTAGTTTGAAGCTTATTACAGGCTAGCATTAACATTGGTGCAAACATTTCAATGTACCATAATTAGCTAAGAGTGGGAGCATGTCTGCTAATAGCACACCCCTATTAACCATGCATAAAAGAATCAGCAATTTTATGTTAGCAGTGGCCTCTTTTTCTTGCCATGCAAACCATTTCTGTGCGTGGCAAGCTTTTAGGATGAATCAGTTAAATTATTCCAGGATTAGTTCATTGTAGAGTAATGATGCTGGCATACAATAAAACAAACTAAAGTGCACTTTAAGCAGATAACACAAAGGGCCACAGGTAGAGCTCCTCTAGGAGTAGATTAGGAGATGAACCATAGATATAGTTAAGAGTAAACGATTATGTACTTCTAGAATTGTTTAAGAAAACATGGCAAAAATCTGCTTCACAAAAGTTTATTTTGCAATACATTCTATCAGAACTGTTCGTTTTTCCAGTATTGTAGAAAAAATAGATGTTCCAGCCACCATTTGCTGAATTAATTTAAGAGCAAATCAATTGTTCCCCTGGAAAAAGATGAATACATCTTATGATCAAACTAAATTCTTAGATTCTTTAAAACAAAGAAAAAAACTTTTTTCTCCCAGCAGCAGCCAAAATAGGGTTCCAGCAGCTTAATGACCCATTCTATAAAGCTTTGTATAAACCAGTGATTTCACTATAAAAGCACTGTCATTAAAACAAAGGAGTGGCAGGCAGGCATCAATGCAAAACATGGAATGATTAGGTCAAACATATGGCACTTCCAAAATAGTAGCTTATTTTAGCAAACCTCCACAGAAAGGTTGTTACTTGTTCTGTCCCAACTATAGCTCCAGAGAAAAGAAAACTGAAGAATTTCCCTTGTGAACACAAGTTTATAAAACCGTCAGAAGGTATTTGTTCCCCAAAACAAGTGCATCTCTTAAAAAATAAATGAACTGTGCTAAGCAACTCTTACTATAGAATATATACATATATATTCCCTTAAACATCTACAGCTGCAAGAGTTTGTTCATTCAGTAGCTTTCAGCTTTCAGGCGGCCTCCATCTCCTTCACTTACAAAGCGCTTCCTTCCCCTAAAATTAAATATACAATTAGCTTTCAGTATATCCCTTAAACTTGGCCATATGAAGAGGAGGGCAGAAAGTTAATTTGCAATAAAAAATTGGAAATCACCCTCAAAGCAGTGTGGTTAGTTATATGTATGCAAATTATAGATACTTGCATTTGCTCTGTTCTATTCGAACTCTGATGGGGGCAGGGGAGGAAAGTTTGGAGCATTAAAGTGCAAGACCCAAAGCCAGGAATCTACAAAGGAGAACCGTATCTGACATTTAAGAAGAGATTGAGATTCCAGAATCGGCTCAGTTAATATCCTAGTTTTGGCGAGGGTTATGCTTCAAAATCATTTATTCTGCAGGAATCTAAGAATTCTTCAACAGGGTTATAATAAGTTACGAAAATTTATAAATAATATAAATAATTTATAAATAAATAAATTTATAAATAATAACCAGTTTCCTCTGACCCCAATCATCCTAGCAGAAGTGGAAAGAAATTAAAAGCAGCTACAGCACAGAAGAAGATTGGCAATATCTGAGAAAGCACAATGTAGCAACAGGAAGACACAAGTGAAATATCCATATAGTCTTACTCTCATATTTATATGCTGTTTTTCTTCAGTTGTAGAACCCAATGTGGCAAACACGTAGTTTCCAGGTGGTCACCCATTCAGGAACTGACTAGAACCACACCTAATTCACTTCAACAAGGTGACTGGCCTCTTGGGCCTTCAAACCACATGCTCGGATTTAGAAGGGAAGTTTGGATCAGAGATTCCAAGCTATTCTACCCCTTTAGCCAGCACCAGTCCTAAGACAGCCTGTACTACCATGCAAGGGAAAAAAAATAAGTTGCCAATCTGACTTGATTAAATTCGGTTGACAAACTAGCTAGGTTTTGCACCCCTTGGACTTAATTTGCTGCACAGCTACCTCTCTGACACAGTGATCCTTAAGTATGTACCTGGAAGGACAGAGGTCTCTCATTGGTTTGGAAATTATTCCTGCTCTAAAGCATTCCTCTACAAACCGCTCAAGCACAGAGTATGAATGTGGCACATCAAGATTAATATCCGGGATTTCACGGTAAATTCGTTCATAGCCCTGCAACATCAAAATTAGAATAAAATTCATTATCTCAGGAATTTTCAGTATGAATTAAGTAAACTTTAAGTAAAATGTTTCTATCTAAATGGGTATGTTACCTTTAACTTTCACTTCAATATATCTAATTATATATCTTTTATATCTGTTGCCAGACTTCATACTAATTTAGTCCCCAATATCTACAGTTAAAATATTAGCAGCAGCAGACCTACATTTTTGGGGCCCTGGAGCTTAAACTGTGATGGGGGCCCTTACGCAACCAGCAATGAAGTCTGGGTAACCACTGTTGCCTTCTTCAATTGGGTTGTTCCGTGACAATTCATCACCATCATCATAACTACTACATCTCACATTTTGAATAAAATTGCTGTACTGGATTATCTCACATGTCAAAGTCACTGGTGTGAATAAAAAAATTCCTATGCCTTATAGTTTTCAAGTTATGGGAGATGAAAATTAGGGAAATGTTATATACATGCATGATGCATCATAGAATGATTTGAGTTGTGTGACTCAAATTCGGTCTACAAAACCCAAAAATGTAAAGCAATGTTGACTAAAGTGTCTTCTAGTAGATCTGCCCCTGAATATTAGGTAGCAGGTGACAATAGAGCCACCATTACTAAACTTAACAGACTACCAATCTGACTTTGTACAAGACAGATTTCTACATTCTTCCTAGATTTTCTTTTTAAAAATATCGTTGAAAACCCTCAAATTCTGTAACGAAGTCAGAATTTGTGTTCCCTGATCTAATTCTAGGGCTGTTCATTTAATGTTAATAAACAAAAATAAATGCAACCCAATCTTCTCAGCTATAAGGCTATTTAACAGGAAATGCTTGGAAATCTGTTAGGCACACTTACTCTTTTCATTTGGTCCATAGTAATGACAGCAGACCTCCAGAGGGATTTCAACAAATTAAGCATCATTTGAAAGTTTGTTTCTCCAGTTGATTCCAAAACCATCACAACTGCCTAAAATGTAAAATCAAATGAACTGAATGTTCAGGTAGAAATGGTGGGAAAGTACATATTTTAAGCAAGTAACAAACATAACTATACTGCAGAGGGAAAAGGATATTATGGAAAGGACAAAAACAAGCTTGAGAAGAGAAAATCTCTCATAATCAATAGTGTGAAAGGCATCTAGAGATTTCAAGGAATTTGATACTATGCATTCCTATACTTTGCTGTTCAGGTCCATTTTTGGTAATCCCACAAAGTGTAATAGAGAACATGCTTTTGAAGCCAGTAAAAAGTATAAAAGGAAGCTAAAGGTGATATGAAAACATTCTCTTTTGAAATGAACAATAATATGCAGTATTGATATTCCCTTCATTGAAAATGAAGTAAGAGGTAGTCAATGAATTACTTAAGAAGGAACTTCAGTCTTTTTATTTACCAGGCATTTTATTAGGGAAATAAACTAGTATAAAAGGTACAGGTTATGCAGGCTACTGTAGGAAGCATCTTTCTCAGCTTACAAGCAAGTGTAAAATAGTACCACCAAAGAGAAACTCTCAATAAAGCTCCTTCAACATAAAAATCATTATGCTTGTTAAAGTTTGTAACTTCAGAACTAAACTTACAAAGACAGTTATAATACTATGTTGTAAAAAAATAATAATGTTTCAATCCTGCCTTACTTCATATACAAGTTCATGGTGAAAATGTGGTACTTCTAACTCCTGGAGACAACGTTCTGCTTCAGAAACATCTCCTGAAAGAAGGTATTCTTTCAACAGCATATCAATCTAGTAGATTAAAAATACAAAAATGTATAAGACCAGATGTTAAAAAGCTTACAATTCTGAAATCTACAATGTATTTCAATTTCTAAATTAAATGTTTACTGATGAGCACCCTCTATGGCACAGTGGTCAATGCTTTTTTGATAAATACAGAAAATATATGAATTCATTATATAATGCAGGCAAGATCCCAAAAGATAAATTATGTATTAATTATTGTAAATGAGATATAAATGAAATGGAAATGAAATATTGTTCAGTACATATGTAATCATGAATAAATAATCATGAATTTAATAATATACAATGCATTAGTAAATTACTAGAGGAAAAAACAAAGAGGCATCAGTTGCTTTGTCCAGTAGTTTACCCTACGTCTCTTCCTACTTGCACTCTCACTTTTTGTGGCAGAACAGAGGATACCACTCAATGGGGCCACTCAGAAAGTATGCAAGAAGAACAGCCAGTGGTAGTAGAATACCACTGAAAGACAGCTTGTGAGCAAGTTGAGACGACGTGGCAAAGGCACTGGGCAGCAGTTGCTCCCACCTCTGCCTTGTTCGCTTTATATGGTGCAGCAAGAAACATTAAGGCCTGCTTGGAGGTGCAGGAGGAGAGTGGGAAGACCAAAAACATGTTGTCAAGGGGCCCCTTGTAACACTGAACCAGTCCTGTTAACTGGATATAAAAGTTAACCACTAATGAACAGCTGAACTTAATTACCTACCTCTTTAACAAGATGTTTTACAGACTGCTGCCCGCCTCCTGATCCCCACACATTGTCAATGCGTTTTCCACCTTTGGTCATACTCAGCAATACAGTAGCTCGATCCAGAGCAGCCCTGTGAAGAGAAAGGAGAGTTGCAAATAAAAACAAACATATTTAAGAATCTTTACATTCACCATTAAGCCTTTAAACTACACTGTAGAAATCTGCATTAACAATGAGATGCAAGATTTATACACCAAGACTGCTATTGTAACAAAGTGACCTAATATTTATGGGGTCCGGTAACTTGTGTTCAGCATTAACTTAGGTCAAAAAGCTGTAGCTTGTTCACTACAAATCATCAATCCAATTCAAATTATTTTTCAAAGTTTTACACAGTGAATATAACAGTCACATTAGTTTATTTCCCAAAATAATCCTGCAGCAGGGAACTATTATTAGCTACTATTTAAGATATGATACATGTTTCTTGATTGAAAGGACACTACCTGCATGATGCTTCCTTGGTGAATTTTCTTTAAAAATATAGTCCATGACATAGAGTACCCTATATCCATCATACCCAGATGTTTGAGATAATTGCTTCTGTTTCTTCTATCTAAGGCTCTAGCACCTCAATATTCTAACACTTTTAGAACTGATGCCCTAAACATCCAAACTTAGCAGCTGCTGATTATTCCTTAAATTTCCATTATTTGTCTAAAGCTTTTCTCTGAATTCTGTACTTTTAGCCATTCACTGCCTTTAGGTATTAAATATTCCACAAGCTATGCAATGGAAGGAGGCAGCAGAAACATTATATCTTCATAACTTTTCAAGAAAGAGTATAAACCCCAATCTTTGATGTTTTTATTTCTTAAAAAATAATAGGTAAGCCTTCTTTAACCTGGCAAATACAAATTTTTTACTGGATTATCACCTTTAATTGCGAACCCCAGCTATGAAGGGCAATGCACTTACCGAGCCTGGACACAGTCCACAGTGCCTTTGTAACCATCTATGTAACTATTGCAAAGAATCCCATCTCCGACTGCTCTTGCAATAAATTGACCCACCAACTGCCATGAAAAAGAAATATGTCTTACAGATTAAATTTGAGATAGACAGGGTTTCTTTGATCAGTCACAATGTCACACGAAGCAGTAGTACACCCCCAAAATGGGAGAAGGAAGCCATACCCAAGCACCCCTGCTGTTTCCTTCTCGGGCTGGTTCAAGCAGCAGTACAGGCAGTGCTGCTACCTCAGCTGCCTACATTTCTTAATTTTACATAAACAGATGAGCCAATTACATGCAGCTACAAATGTAATACAGTGGTGCCTCGCAAGACGAAATTAATTCGTTCCGCGAGTTTTGTCGTCTTGCGATTTTTTTCGTCTTGCGAAGCACGGTGTCGGGAAAGTTTAGGAAAAGCTTCAAAAATCACCAAAGTCTTTAAAAACCTCAAAAAAGGCTACCACACTGTCTTCTATGAGTTGCTCCTCGAAGTCAAGTCGCAACTGTATTAACGGTGTTAAGAAAAAGGAAACAAACTTGCAAGACGTTTCCGTCTTGCGAAGCAAGCCCATAGGGAAAATCGTCTTGCGAAGCAACTCAAAAAACCAAAAACCCTTTTGTCTTGCGAGTTTTTTGCCTTGCGAGGCATTCGTCTTGCGAGGTACCACTGTAAATAGGAATATATTGACACAATACATAAAAGATAATACAATACATTGGGTGGTAGCAGGGAAGACAAGGAGTTCTAGGACACAGAAAGTTAAGGTACATTGTGCTGTGATGGAATTTGCATATAAATTCTAATGATTTAGCCATTAGGGGTATCAAAACTTTAGATAAAGATTTTATTGTGTACCTTTATGCCATAAAAGTACTTTAATAAATGTGAGCAACAGATGTTACCACAGAAACAAATTATAATTAGTAATAGGCAAGGCTTTTTTCAACCAGAACTCACAGCAACTCAGTTCTGTCACCTCTCAAGTGGATGTCATTGCCATTATAAGAGAACAAGGGAGACGTTCATGGTGAGTTCTGGCACCTCTTTTTCTAGAAAAATAGCACTGATAATAGGTATTTTAAACAAACCTGTGGTGCTCTGGGAGTGTCCAATACCAATTCTGGCATCTCTCTGAGAAGCCTATCAAATGATTTTTCAACGTCTTGTTTGCCAACTACTGTCCCACACAGGTCAGCAAGAAGTTTAGATGTCATTTCTCTGTGACTGGCCTTTCCCTCCAGAGCCAATGATACAGCCAACACTGGTACACTGTATTTCATTTCACCAAGATTGAGGTCTTTCAGCATCTCCTAAATATGTGGAAAGTAAAATAAGCAGTCATTTTATTTTAGTTCAAGTGCACATGAGTTTTATAGTAGAGATGAGAGGAAAAAAACAAGCAAGGAAGAATGTCTCTCTTATGGAACCAGTATAGTAAGAGAAATTCTCTAACTAATGTGTTTGCAAGTTAAGTAAACTCCTTTGACATAAGGGACAATTGTCCAATTACTGTATGTCAGAGGAGACCCACTGAACTCAATGGACGAAAGTTACTTAAATCAATTGAGTTCAATGGAACTACTGTGAAAATGACTTATTTGGGAATCACTCAGGAACAATTTTAATTCTTACTATATTTTTGTGGAAGTAGCAGGAGAGAGGAGTTCAATCTAAATATATGGATTTTAAAGAAAGGTACCATTTCTACCTATAAAATTTACCAGTCTTTACCATGAGTGTCAACTTTCTTAGGGTTTTAGTCTTGTTTTAAATACACTGGCTTGCTTTTGTGTTTTTATCCGATGTGTAAGGTGCCTTGAGACTGTTGTTTAGAAGGCAATTAATGAATCAGTGATAATAATAAATAAAAATTATTACTAGATGCCATCAAACTAATCTGCAACCAACAGACACACATTTCATAATCTAATAAAAGTCTGTGTTTATGCCACTAATTATTATAAAAGACAGAAATTGTAAAAGTAACATCATCATCATCATCATCATAATTATTATTATTATTATTTATTTGTACCCTGCCCATCTGGCCGGGCTTCCCCAGCCACTCTGGGCGGCTTCCAAAAAAAATATTAAAATACTCTAATACATCAAACATTAAAAGCTTCCCTGAACAGGGCTGCCTTCAGATGTCTTCTAAAAGTCTGGTAGTTGTTGTTCTCTTTGACATCTGGTGGGAGGGCGTTTCACAGGGAGGGCGCCACTACAGAGAAGGCCCTCTGCCTGGTTCCCTGTAACTTGGCTTCTCTTAGTGTCCGGGTAGAACGATGGGGGTGGAGACGCTCCTTCAGGTATACTGGGCCGAGGCCGTTTAGGGCTTTAAAGGTCAGCACCAATACTTTGAATTGTGCTCGGAAACGTACTGGGAGCCAATGTAGGTCTTTTAAGACCGGTGTTATGTGGTCTCGGCGGCCGCTCCCAGTCACCAGTCTAGCTGCCGTGTTCTGGATTAGTTGTAGTTTCCGAGTCACCTTCAAAGGTAGCCCCATGTAGAGCGCATTGCAGTAGTCCAAGCTGGAGATAACCAGAGCATGCACCACTCTGGCGAGGCAGTCTGCAGGCAGATAGGGTCTCAGCCTGCGTACCAGATGGAGCTGGTAAACAGCTGCCCTGGACACAGATTTGACCTGTGCCTCCATGGACAGCTGTGAGTCCAAAATGACTCCCAGGCTGCGCACCTGGTCCTTCAGGGCACAGTTACCCCATTCAGGACCAGGGAATCCTCCACACCTGCCCGCCTCCTGTCCCCCAAGAACAGTACTTCTGTCTTGTCAGGATTCAACCTCAATCTGTTAGCCGCCATCCAACCTCCAACCACCTCCAGGCACTCACACAGGACCTTCACCACCTTCACTGGTTCTGATTTGAAAGAGAGGTAGAGCTGGGTATCATCCGCATACTGATGAACACCCAGCCCAAACCCCCTGATGATCTCTCCCAGCGGCTGCATGTAGATGTTGAAAAGCATGGGGGAGAGGACAGAACCCTGAGGCACCCCACAAGTGAGGGCTCAGCGGTCTGAACACTCATCCCCCACCACCACTTTCTGAACACGGCCCAGGAGAAAGGAGCGGAACCACTGTATGACAGTGCCCCCAGCTCCCAGCCCCTCAAGACGGTCCAGAAGGATTTTATGGTTCATGGTTAAGGACCTAAGTACCCCACTCTTGAAAGAACTATTTTAAATCTCATTAATCACTGCTTGTAATTTCCAAAATATAAGCCATGAGACATACCGCAACTTCATTAGTATCCCCATGTTCAAAATATTCCTGGATTATTGGAGTTAGCGTTTTCTCAAATGCTCTTTCTTCCAAAGGTGGAACTACTGTTTCATAGACACAGTTATCCTGCTTTAAACAAAGATGCAACAAATTTAATAAAACAAAATTTATATTGGGGAGGCTCAGAACAATTCAGTTTTAGAACATAGTTCCCCATAAATTTTCACAGGCTTTCCATTCATAATCCCTTTAATACTGTCAGTCAGGCTTCTATGAGTAATGGCTTTGTTCTCTTCAGTTGCTGCCATCAGTTTCAACTACTCTATAACACCAAGAAGGAAGAGGTAAGCTGTTGAACTAATCCAAAAATGGAGAAATGCAGCTATAGCTGAAGATTGATATGAAAAACAGCTCACAGTGTGTTCTTCAGCCACACTTCAATTCCACCTTCACAATTTATCTGTCAGGTGAGCAGAACAGCACAGCAAATGCTGCTTTAAACCCCTATGTTTTGCTCCTTCCCGGTCGCTGATTCTATCACTGGGCCACTGCTGTTTTCTCCTCCTCTAGGAGCTGTTAACTAAGCACAGAATTAAATGTCTGTGGCTAAATAGAGTTGAGATGGACTTTATGCCCAATTTCTGTTTTTATCAAGACTAGAAAGAGTCAGTGAAAAACACAGACTACTTACATCATCAGTTTTTGATGAAATAACTGTTCAGGGGTGGGGCACTCATCAGATGAGGAAACTAACCATTTTCCTTACCTGAGCATCATCATAGTTGGGATCCTTAATGTCTACTTCCTCCAAATCATACACTTGCCCAGGTTTTCCCCAAACACCTTTGCCTCCTGATCCACCTGAAAAATTTTAACAGCAAAGATGAGAACCAGACTACAAGTCAGTGTTATTTTTTGTCTTATTACTGCACTCTAACCTTTCATAGAAATCTAGTTTTCAAATTCACATGAAAGGCTCACAGAAACTGAACAGCAAAGCTGACACTGTTCACTATCTTCCTAATATGAACAAGACAGGAGGCAATCATTTTTAATCAGGCTAAATAGAACAGCATAAGCTATCTGCAGCAGTCATTATCAAGTCTCCAAGTATTTGTGTTTGTTTTATTTAATTAACAATGTTCATATTAAAATTATGAACCTTAAAATTTCAGAGTTCTAAATTAGAAAAGTATTATACATGCAGATATAAACTATGCAGATCTCTACTGTGTCTATATTCTTGTTGCTATCAAATTAATGTAAAACAAAACATTTAGGAATAAGTACAAAATGAAGATCAATCTAAACCTAGATAAACTCTCAATAGGTTATTTCTGTTTGCTGTGAATTCAAAACACACCAACCTTTCTTGGGTAGACCCCTTCCCTTTCCAGAACGAGATCGCCTATCCAGATGCTTTCCCTTTGGACTTGTTGGTACTATGACTCCATTCTTCAGTGCTTCCCCATTATCACTCACTGAATCTCCTCTTCCAGAGTCTCTAGAAGAGTTTTTTCTCAGTCTCCTCTTTGCTCTGGCATTGATCTTAGCTTCATTAATAGACGTTACAGCGTTCCAGTTACCATTGATTTCAGGTTTTATTTCCTCAGTTCCACCATTTTCTTCATCACCGGAAAATGGAGTATCACTCAGATTATCCAGTTCTCAAAAACAGAAAGATACAGGAAGGTTTAGCTATTGGCAAGTAATTTTAAAATCACACAAATTTCCAACATGGTAAAAGTTCCAACGCCATCCTAAGCATCATGCAAAAAAATAAAAAAAATTAAAAAAAAGTTTTTAACAATCCTTGACAGATTTAGTTCTTGCAGCTCTCCTGCAAAAGTGACAAACTAATTATTGGGTGAGAACAAGAAGAAATGTTTCAGGGGCATTTGGTGGAGGAGGAAGAATCAGTTGACAAAAGCTAACATGGTATTATAGTCACAGTGGGATATATCGCAACAAAATTGTAGTTTACCTATTGCAAATTATATTCATGAAGGGTTTGTTTAATGATGTGGCTGAAGTACAGCCCCACTTTTATATTTGTAAGCCACATTCATATGTATAACAGTGGACAGCTTATGACATGTCTTTTTCATCAAGCCTACAGGTGTCTGTGTCTTAAATGTATTTTTGTGTTTCTTGTGCTTGCAGTGCTATACAGATGCGAGATTTATACAAAAGCTTTGATTTTTAAATTGTTTTGTTTATTCACTGTGATTTGAACAATTACTATACAAATATGGAAAGGTGGAATATATATTTTTAATAAAGACATTAGAATTTTTTGGGGGGCCTTGATTATTGTACAGTAGTTTCTTTACACAGGAATATGTATTTTCCAAAAGTAAAAAAAATCAAGGGGATTTTTGAAAATAATAAGCGACAAAGACCTAGTTCAACTTCTTATAACCATGCAACATGCAAATCCAAGAGCATATGGAATGGGATACTGTAAAAGTAGAACAACAAAGTCATTAACAAACCCAGTAGCATATCTCAGAGCTTAAATAAGTACAGGTATTAGGAACAATTTTCTCAATTTAAAAAACTTTGTTTAATTATGTGTTCCATTCTATAATGGAAATGCATTTTGCAGCGTTTCAAGCATCAAAGACCGCAAATGAATTGGGCTGATTCCTTACCTGTCAAGTTGATGTTGTATGTCTGCTCATTTCCTATTTCCATAGCTGTTTTACAGTAACTGAACCAAACGCAAAAAATTGTTTAATATTGTTGTTTCAGACCTAAACACAAAAATAGAACCTTTTAGTGCAATTAGAACTATAGAAACTGTAGCTGTACAGTGTACTTTCTTTGATAAAATTGTAACACACAATATTTTGTAAACATTAAACCTTATGCAAATTTTCTATTATTTTTATTATTGAAACTGAATCAGCCAAGTTATTCTCTTGTTCCAAAGACTTCTCTTAAGCTTAGGATTTGTAAATTCCTACAAGCAGAAGTTTGGCAGGAATCATCCCTCCCTTCTATCAGACATTTTTTGGAAAACTATACTATTTAGATGGGCCTTTGTAATATGAATTTTCTTTTTTAACCCACTCAGTATTTGTTTTTATGCATATTTTTGTTGATTTTATTCTCATACCTATACTGCCTTGAAATGCTTTTATAGACTATAAATACATAATAATTTATTTTTTTTACTTCATTTATCCGAACAACCCATAATCATTATTTCCACTTTGCAGTGGAACAACAGAAAGTTGCTTGTTTGCCATCCAAGTTCAGGACTGAGGTATAAATTTAATTAAGACTAGCATTTTTATTTATTTATCTAGTGAGTGTGTGCGTGTTTGCATCTATGTATCTATGTACCTATGTACATCAACAAAATAGAAATTATTTAGGCTGCAAGTCTTACTACCATGTTTTAATATTTATATAGCACCAGTTCTGCTTAGGTATTTTGTAGGGATAGCACCTGTTTTTTGGTAATTGTTCCATTGTTTTATCAGTCCTGTCAAAATACCATGCAGATCAAACAACGAAAAAGATACTTTATTTGTATTTATTCTTTCACTCTAAGAACAGATCACCACCTTCTGGGAATTCCTGTTGCTCTCTGTTCACCTCCAACCTGCAGCTCATCCAGTGTTTTACCCCATGGTAGTACTCTCAAATAAGTTGGCATCATCCAAATCTAATCACATTTGTTTTAGATAGCATAGCTACAACACTTTCACTAGAGGGAAAGCATGCAGATAATCCTAACAGATCTTATATCTTGCATCACAATTTTTACCTGTGTAGCTTTCATTAAACATTCAGCAGTCTCATTTGTGTTCCCAGGCAGTATCTGCCCCAAGTTTTTTTTCCTCCTTCCCCCACCTTTTATCTAGCAAACACTATGCATTGTTGAGTGGTGAGATTATGACATCAGGTCTTTCACATCATACCTCATAGCAAAGAGTTTTTCAACATTACCTTAGCCAATCATTCAGAAGTTTGCAATGTTCTGAAGCACTTTCCTTTCAATAGAAGAGTTTCCTCAGATCTCTCAAAAGGCAGAAGATTGGAGAGTTGATTTATTAGCTTGTAAGGTTAATTTCAGTCCTCTTGGTAGAGTATTCCATTACATGCATCAACTCTCCTTCAAATCCAAAGGAAAAGCACAATGTTTATATAGAAAAATGTATGATAATTTAACATTGGAATTATGTATCTTCAGTATCTTGCAGATATGCAAATGTACAACTCTTTATGAAATTAAAATAATTTCTAAGTGACAGCATGGGTAGGGAGTGGCAAGCAAACCAAAACTCTCCCCACACATCTCTTAGGACAGCAGAATGAGACAATGCTGAATCCTTGGGGGGCATCCTTGTTCTAGATAGTAACCCACTAGTTCAAAACCACAGAATTAACTTCTAATTTAACAGCATAACCACACACAAATGTTGTAAAAGTACTACATACCCACACCATGAGGTGTGGTGCTGCAGCATAAACAAATTAACTCTAACACAAGGGTAAATGGGATGTGTAGGACAGGAACAAAACAAAATTCATTAAGAAGAAAACTCTTCTCACTTCTGTTACATGCCTGGAAACTACTGGCCTGGAAATCCACAAGTCGTCAGACTGCACAAATACAGGTCTGCCACATACTGCAAGCCATGCTTGCTAAACCATCCTGGTTTTGTGGCAACTGTGAGCCTGAGGCTACAAGAACAGCAAAATTAATGAAGTATCTGATGAGACGCAGTTCATGATTGCTATTACACATACACTCCATCTGGCAATGAACCGCTGGCATGTTCTCTAAAAGTACATAATTTTTTGAAGGCCTGAAATCTATAATATGGAAAACCTGCCTCCTGCAGATGACTTCCTGTGTTCAACTTGTTTGACACACACTTTAAAAATAAGAAAGGGAAGTGGTTGTATGGTTAGTTGATCTTTTTAAAGTTTTCAAGCAACATCTGTTGCTAGACCTTTAAATGGTAAAGGAAACTGTGGTTTAGAAGGCATTTCATTTTTTATCTTACAGCACTTAGAATGTTGTAGTTCCTCTATGGCGTTTCTGAACGGCAGGCAACACACATTAAATCATTATTCTCAACAACAAAAATAGTCTTGTAGCTCTAAAGTACTGAAAGGGTATGTGGTAGCAGACTACTCACCCAATCAATTTGTTTATCCTGAATGCCAAATTAAATTAATCCAGATTACCAAATAATATAAACATAATCCAAATTAAGTAAAGAGGGTCAATATGGTCGTGAAAAGTCTTTTGTTAATCATTAAATGCTTTATTGAAGATGTTTCCATGTGAAAAAACTGGCCTGGTTCAGATGTAATGGGGAAATGGTTTTCCACTACAATATTAAACTGCACCATACCTCAGGTTTATGTATTTTCTCCTCTCTGAAGGAACTTCAGTGTAAAACTAGTCACAGTTCCCTGACATCCAAATTTAAGGAGCTATGGTTTCTTTACCCTATAGTTAGTAACAACAAACCAGAAAAACATGGTTTCAAATCATAGCTTGTTCTTTCACTTTAACTTTAAACAGACCACAGACAGGGAATAGTGGTAAGTTTAAATTCAAAGGCAAAATCTTTCTGTCTCCTTTTCTGGATGGGAGAATGAAGTGTGGTGGGCCTCAAGCTTGCTATAATTCATTTTCAAAACAGGAAGCTATGGTTTGCTGTTATGTCTGAATCACACCATTGTATCCTGAAAAGCAACTTGTTTACAGGGGCTTCATTTATTTGAACTTCATTAAACTTGTACACATCAAGGACTAATCATTCCAATAAAATAGAATAGACACTCATAACATTGTTATACTTTTTGTGGTCACTCAAATTGTAAGTAGACTAAGGTATGCTGAAGCCTTAAATTCAAATGCCAAAGCTTGACTAATGAACCCTAATAAAAGTGTCTTTAGATAATGCTGACAAAGTGGCATAGTAAACAACTACAAAGTGAGGTAATGCTCTCATTCTTCAGAAGACAATTTTGGCAATGAAATATTATGGATTCTGTAATATTAAACTTCCAAGTCCAGTGAGTCCCTTATTATTGCATTTCACAGAAGGGGATATTCCGATGCTTAACCAGATTCAGAAGGATAAGCATTTAGCAGCAAAAGTAAGCGTAATGGGGTATCTTTTTGAGAAATACATAGAACTATAACAATATCTATACTGATATCCAGTTGTCCCAAGAACAAGTTGGGGGAAATCAGTGCACATAAACTGATATAATCCAGTGGAAGGAGTGTTGTACAAAAATTAGTGCAACTTCATCCTGACCCCAAAAGCATTAAAATGCAGGATCAACCATCTAGCCTGCTGAGATGCAAGCTGGCAGGTAAGTGAATCGGCATTTGATGCATAAGGCAGGACAATGGTGTTTTCAAACATCAATTAACCATTTCGACATTGATTTGCCTGCCACAAACCCCTTGTGTGCAGCAGAGTTCTGGGGCATGTTACAAGGTGCACATTCAATGACTTAGGTCTACGCTGGGTTTCACTTTTGCTCCACAAAGAGCATAGCCGCTAGGGCCCCCCCCCCCCCAGTGCTCCCCAGCAGTTACACATTAGGAGGTGAGGCCAGCAGTGGAAGGCAAACTGCCTTTTGCGTGGAAATCCAACTGCCACCCTTGAAATCAACACCCGGCCTCAAAATACAGTGGTGCCTCGCAAGACGAAATTAATCCGTTCCGCAAGAGTCTTCGTCTAGCGGTTTTTTCGTCTTGCGAAGCAAGCCCATTGACGGATTAGCGCTATTAGCGCTATCAGCTGTTTAGCGGCTATTAAAGGCTTAAAGGCTTAGGGGATTAGCTGCTAAAAGGCTATTAAAGGCTATTAAAGGCTTAGCAGATTAGATAAAGGGGGAAAAGCGAAAAAAATCTCAAGACTCGCAAGGTATTTTCGTCTTGCGAGCAAGCCCATAGGGGAATTCGTCCTGCGAAGCAACTTCAAAACGGAAAACCCTTTCGTCTAGCGGTTTTTCCGTCTTGCGAGGCATTCGTCTTGCGGGGCACCACTGTAAAAATAAAAATGCTTTCAAAGAGCAGCAGGATTTTCCTGAGCACGGTCTTCACATCACGGAGAAAGCCCTTCCTGAGGGAAAGAATATACTCCTGAGGTAAAACGATGGGAAGCCCCAATAAATGATACGGCCTGTACTCAGCGTAACAGCAGCTCTCCCCTCCCTTTTAATACACGGGAAGCGGCACTAGGCCAAGCCAGGCTGTTCGTCCATCTAGCCCAGCGCTGTCTACGGAGAGCGTTATCGGTCGTGTGAGGCCAGTTCATGAGCTAAGGTAGGGCAGGGCGGCCAATACACCGGCCAAATGACGGGCGTAAGGGAGGCGGAAAGGCGAGGAAATGGGCCCCCTTCCTCCTCCTCCTGAGGAGTCGGCAGACACGTACGTCCCTCTCCGCTCGGCGTCGCGAAAGGTGGGAGGGCACAGCCCTAACGGGAGACCCCCCATTCCCGTGCTCACGTTTATGGGGCCGGGGTGGGGGTGGGGACATTACCGTAGGCGGCGGCCCCGGAGCTGCGCCACACGGTGTTTGTTTTTGTTCTGCCCAGCAACACGGCCACGAGCGGCCGATCCTGATTGGCTCAGCCTCGCCCTGGGGCCCGCGACAGCCAATGGGAAAAGGGACTCCGAGAGGGCGGTACAGGGGAGCGTTCAAAACAAAAAACCAGTTGGAAAACAAATAAGTGTCAAAATGGAGGGGACGGGAAAGGGCGTGTGACGTGACGCGACGAGTGGGTGAGACCATCGAAAATCCAGGTGGGGGGAGGGTGGGGGAAGTATCTTTAGCCAAGGGGCGACAGAGGAAGCCATAGAGCTGCCTCACTGTAGCCTGGAGATTTGCCCACTCAACATTTTCTGCTTGGGGCTGATAAAAAGGTGTGATGGAGGGCTCTCGCTTCTTTGGCTCCCAGCCATGTATCAAATAAAACTCCAGTTCTTCCCAGAAGCTATCATGTTATAGAGAAGAGCATGGCCTAGAGATTTGTTTATTAAATTTTATCCTCGAGCTTCCATATGTTTACTTTCAAGGAAGTCCCATTATTGGGGCTTACAGGTAAAGGTGCAAATTGTTATGCTTAAAGTTGGAGGAGCTCAGCCTTTCACACCTACCACATGAGAAGAAATTAAGGAGGTGGCACTTACCGGTAAAGAGCTGCTATGATGAGAAAGAATGCAATTGCTGCATTTTTTAAAAAAGCATTTGTGTCAGCTCCATGACAGCCTGAAAAAGGTTGTCAACCCTATACCACACATTTCAAAACACTTTTAGGCTGCACTGCTCACTAACTAGGAAGTAATTTTCATTGCACTTAATGAGAGATACTTTACTCCTGAGTGAGGGTGGTGTAAAGGTTAGAGTATTAAACTAGGTCCTGGGAGACCAGGGTTCCAATCCTCACTCAGCTGGGTGACGTTAGGTCAGTCACTGTTTTTCATTCTAACCTACCTCACAGGTTTCCTGTGTGAGGAACTTAGAGAAAAAATGGGATACAAATGTAATAATAAATACTGTTAAAAATGCACAGGATTGTGCAGTTAGTAAAATCAAGTGAACTTGTTCTATCAAGGAACACAGGGCATTGCCTTAGATAATGTGTCTCAAGCTGTCAAGGTCATTCTGTATTTGGCCCTTTGTAATCTTCATGCTATTGTCTGATGTCTGAAACAAGAACCTTTTGCCTCTTTTTCCTCTCCTTGCTGTTCCTGCCCCAAGCAAATCATGAAGGCCCTTTGATGTTTGAAGTTTACTAAGCCAGCACAAGGCTGTGGTTGGGAAGATGCCTGTTCTTGAAGTTTCGAACAACTGATTCACTACTGCAGTCTTCAGAGTCAGTACTAAGAAATGAAACTGATCCTACAAAATCCTATTTATGTTAAGCTTGCATAAAAAATGCAAAGGTCACAAAATTGCAAGTAAACGAGTTAAATCCTATGCAGTCAGAGTCTCTGAAATGGCTGGCTTAAGCGGTTTGAAGATTGATATGTGCACACAGCTTATGATTAACCAACCTCCACCCTCTCAAAAAGACCTTTTCTTGACCTTACAGACAGCTTAATTTATTTTCTTAAAGTATACTCAGAGCCTCCCTATTAATTACATACTGTGCATAACACTGAATGCTGTACAGCCATACTTAATTAGAAGGCTTAATGCTAATGTTGTTATGAAATATTATTACTCTTAGATATTCATTGCAAGACAAGCTGATATACATCACTGATTCTCCCAGGATGCCACATCCCAGAGCTCTTTTAGGGACAAGATTATATATGGTGTAGTCCCATTCTGTGACTGCATTTCTCCTCTGTAAGTAAATGTATCAATCTGTCTATAGATGCACCCCCTTGAGTACAGGGCAGTTTAAATGTAAGGTTCTGAACTGTAATAGCACAAGCTTCAATATAAACTTATTTAAGTAGTTAAGAGCTATACAAGAATTAAAAGGCTAGTCTTGTTACTACCGGTTCTTAACGCAAGTCAGTAATTGTTTGTATGTCAACATGCAACGCATACCTAACCTGTAATGTAAACATCTGGGAATCTGCTTAAGTACATGAGTAACATATTTACTGTGTTTATGCAGATTCCCAGATGTAGTTTGGAAAGAGGTAATGACGCCACTCTAATGGCTTAATTATAAATGCGCACCGACAACAGTTTGAGATCCGCAAGTCACTTCCTGATTTGTCTTTGAAATATTTTGAAGCACAAGCACCCAAGTTGTAACCTATAAGCATTCAATAACTAAGCACTGCTAGGTTTTACCTCACAGGCCTCTTTTGCCTTTAGAGCTATATGACAGGCAGAAATTTACCATGTGAACATTTACCTAGCAAGCAGATCCACCGATGCCAGAATTTGCTTCCGCCAGGCAGAATCTCCACAAATCAAAAGTTGGTATCCTTCCTAACAACAAATAGAGTATCATCCCACCACCTCTTCACATCCAGCCATTCCCTGGAATCATTTAAGCAGACAAATCCTCTAGCTATAGAAAATAATTGCTACATGGCATATGTTAAACCACTGGTGCTGAGCTTTTTAAACTGTGCTAGCATTAAAAAAAAAAAAAGAGAGAGAGAGATTGCACTAAAATACACTGCCCTGCCTCTGCTGCACCTTCCTGTTTTTATCCAGGGGTATTGCAGAATCCATTACCCATACCAGAGGTTGGAACTATATCCTAAAAGCAGAAGAAGAGCCTTTCTGGGTCAGCCTTTCTGGGTCCACAAGCAGGGCACGAACACGGTCTCAGGTGATTCACTGAAACTGGTATTCACTGGCCTACCACCTACAATAATAGCCACTGGTAGCCTTATTCTCCAAGTCTGTGGCCATCACTAGATTCTGTGGCAGTGAGCAATCAGAAAGGGGGGAAATGCTGCAAAATGATAGTTTCTATTGATGCACAAATTTGTATCACTCATTAAAGTCTCACCATTAAGAAAAATTAGGAGGCAAGAATATTGCTGTCATGATCCAGGAGAAGCATATTTTCAAATACCTGTCTCCACATTGCCCTAAACACTCCACTGCCCTAGTTCCCACAAGGTGTCCTTTGACGCGTTGCATAAAACTCTGTAAAGAGTCTAAATTGTAATTTAGTAGCTGAGCAATTATGAGAGGCTGAAACCTGGCTTATTGTTTCTCAAAGAATCACAAAACCATGCTGTCTGAAAGAACCAAAGCTACTCTCTAGTCAGTTTCCTTCTTCAAATCCAAAGCCATCTAACCACAGTGACCCAAGCATAAATAAAGGATATCTTAGAAATATCACACTCCAACTAGGCAAATAGCACTGCACCACATGACTCCAGCAAACCAAATGCCAAGCCACGTGTTGCAGGGAAAGCAAAACACCATCAAAGTCGCTAGCCAATCAGACCTGGGGAAAACATTCCTTCCCAATCAGGCAATGAAGATAAGCGAAACCTATTGGCAAGTCTCTGGAAGAGAGGTTGCACTGGCCAATTGCAACTGTGCTACGCAGCGTCCCACCTCCAAGTTAGGGAGTTTACTGGTTCTCTCGACTTACCTGCAAATTATGCCATCTAAACCCCAATGTCGTCGCCACGCACTTCACAATGCCACTAGCCCCTAACTGAAGCACTGAAAATGAATGCGAAGGCACCCTGCATAAGTTTATCGAAGCCTCCATTAAACTAGGTGGGAATTCTAGATGCATCTAAACAAGCCCAAGTAGTAGCCAGAAAAGATCACAAAAGCAGCGACTTTCAAAAAACCGAATAAAAGACCATTGACATATAATAGCAGCACTTCATTTTCCCCACCACAATCCTACTTAAAGCAACTGGGCGCATCTGCAGCAAGGCGCACACCATTCCACTGCACGCTTACCTAGGAGCATGCCCCCTTGGACGCCATTGGGCTAATTTCCGAAATGACTTGCTACAGGACCCAGGTGAAAAGCCCCGCTGACAACACCTTCGATTCTATGCACTTTGTACGAAAGGGGCTTCCTTCCGAGGAAAGATGCAAAGGTTCGGGTTACATGCCGCCCACAGATTGCAGTCTTATGCCCATTTTCTCGCTTGCAAAATCTATGAACACAATGGAATTTATGTCCCAGAACTGCACAGGATCGGCAAAAAGTGCAGTCTAAGGAAACACACCCTTGTCTGGAGCAAAAGTTCATTGCATATAGTGGAACTTATTTTCGAAAAGGCATGCATAAAATCGGGGTGCAGTATGACGAAACACTAACAAAAAAAAAGCCAGCAATCATAAAATTATTATTTCCCTTTCCCAACCGTTATAGCCAAAATGTATTATCAATTCGCTTTTTTAAAAAATGGAGCCGAACTCGATTGCCGAGAAGCCGTTTAGGAACAGCTCCTTTTGCTCAGATACGGGGATTTCCGCTCACATTTTTGCACCGAGCTCGCACGCCGCTTGCTTTGCATCTCTGGTTTCTTTTCAGTAGCAAATGACAACGAGAGGCAAAGACCTAGCAGCCTAAACCAACAGCTACTTAACGAATGAAAATGTGAGAAAGTCACCCTTTTCCTCCTCTTGCTTTTACCCAGAAGCTGTTGATCATAAAACTCTGGCCCACAAACTCTCACTCTCTCGCCTAGTTTTCTCCTCGGCAGATCAGCACCAGATTTTTCCACTCGCGACTGTTTTCAAACAGCCCTTTACTTCCCCCCACGTTTTAAGGTGGCGGGGTAGTCCCGCCTACGGAGCGCAAGGAGGAAAGCTATTGGACGAGGTTGCCCGCACAATTGGAATAGTGGGCCTTCCCACCCGAGAAGGGCGGGTGTTTGTGAGACTTTTTTTCCGGGGTTCTCCGAAGCTCCTTTAACAGCCATTTTTCACTGGCGCAGATGATTTTGCTTAGAGGCGTTCCGTCGATTTCGGCTGTTGACAACGCTAGTTTGCTTTTGAGATTCCTTTAATGCTGCAGTCTTTTACATGCCGATTCAGTCCAACGTCAGAATTTATCAGTTGCAAATCTTCCAAAGAGAGTTAACATGCCAATGGATCAGCTTCGTTACTTTCTTAAATTTTTTGATTGCATTGCAGTTATAATCTCACAAAACATTTTTACAGTGGTGGGAGGGCATACCCTAATCTTTGAATATTCCCCTAATATTCTGCTGCGTGCAAAAGTAATGACTTCGACAGTACATTTATTGGGAAGGAAATCTCCCGCGAGCCTTGCTGGGTAGTGATTAGACAGCCACGATTGCCTTGCAAACCTTGGCCTTGAACCTACTTGCAGCTCGATCTTGATCATATTTGCACATAAGCAAGTGCCGCTGATTTCAATGAAAAGCTTCCCTGAATGCTAAGGAGTGCGACAAATTAAGCTGAAAAATGGAGGAACTGCACGCATACCCGAAAGCGACGGGTGGGCGTGCCTGGGTGGTTACGGAAGAAACAGGAACATGCTGGCTTCCCAAAAGGATGGAAGGGGGAAACGGAAATTTGACTTACTAAGGCTTTCTGCGTGTAGATGCTGCAGGAAAACGTTCCTGCTGAGGACCACGCCTCCTACTGGAAGGTTTTTGCCTTCTTTCCAGTAGGAGGAGTCAATCCTCTATATAAACAAGGGATGAATCCACCGTCACTTGAAAATCGCTAAGGTTAGTGGCAGACGATTTAAGGATGTTTCTGCCTCTTGTTTAGCAAATGTAATGCACTGCGCTAGATGCTACATGTGAAATTTCAATACATTTAAAAATCAATAGGAATATCTATGTGAAAAATGCAACTAATGTATTTCTAGCTCAATGGATGTTCTTTGCACACATGCCAGAGACCACTTGACTGAAGCTCAAGGCTCACTGGTGTCTGTGGACCACAGTTTGCGAACTCTGCAGGGTGGCAATTCAGAAACCAGTGTCCCACCCTGTATTATGGAATAGTATCTGATTATGGGCATTATGGGCCATGTGGGGTGGGAGCAAAGTAGCTGGTGAGCTGCCTGTAGTGACATTTACACTATGAAAAGCAGAATTTGTGAATGGTGGTCGTGTACGCTAACCCAAGAAGATTCCCACATTAAAAGGCAGATGTGATACTATGGTGTGTAAATCAACAGAGCTGAATAATATATCCCAAGTTTTCAGCCAGGTGATACTCTTTAAAATATATGCTGAATATAAGAGAAGGAAGAGGGGCCCAGGGTGTTTTGCAATATTTTGATAACAGAGCCAGACATGTCTTCTGGGATCACAAGTCATTTGTTTTTCTGTCCATTCTTGCTGCAACAAGACATGCACTTTGGAAGCACTCCACCTACCAAGAGCAGCGCAAGAGAAAGTGCACCATGATCTGATTGAGCCAGAATGAATTCTCCACGGAGAGAAACAAACAACGCTGAACAGACTTTGCTTCAGCATGAAGGAGTCACATGCCTGGTTTCCCAGCTACACCCACAAGTTTGTACTATTGGAGGCTATTATTATTTTTACTGCTGCTGCTGCTATTACTACATACTAACAGAAATCTCAGTTACCAGAGTGTGGTTGCATAAGTAACCAAGACATCAGCACCCAGATACAAGGAGGCAGCACTGGTATGTGCAGGATAACCCAGTGGTTCACAGAAGCTACTCCCCCCCCTAAAAAAAAATCCTTTAGGGGAGGGAAAAACCTAAAAGAGGAGAGACCAAAAACTGGGTATATTTAGAAGGCATGGAATGCTGACTGGCTGCGGAGAGGGGATGAGAAACCAGGAATGGGGCAAGGGAATAGCTTTAAGACTTAACAGTGAGTGCGCCACGCTGCACCATTTTGTTGTAGGTCCCACTTGTTATCATAATATTTAACATTTGCATAGTGCTTTCAAATATTCAGAGTGCTCCTCATGCATTATCTAGTTATAATCCTTACAACAACCCTGCAAAGTGAAGTGAGGATTATTTCCCCCCCACAGAGCAGATGGGGGACAGTGGCTGAGAGAAAACAGCTTGCCTAAGGCTACATGGCCAACTAATGGCAAAGCTGTGGCCTCAACACTCCAACACTGACACCCTGATCCAGCTCTGGAGACCATCTCAGCTGTGAGTCCTGGAAGACCTGCTCCCTGTCTTGGTAGGCTTTTCCTACCTGGCCTGGGAGGGCGGGGCCCTGACTGACTCCAAAAGTTGAGACTACTGAACAGATGCTAGGGCTGGGATATGGTTTAGGAAGTTTTGTTGGGTTTGTGTGTGTGTGTGTTGCTGTTATTGATATTAATTTTTTTGTATATTTTAGATCTTATGATGATTTATGTGGAAATTGTTTCAATTTGGTTGTATACTTTGTATTTATTGTTTATGGCTATTTTTGTTATGATTGTAATTATCTTTCTCATAAGCTGCCTTGAGCATGGAAAAGAGGCATACAAATAAAATGATGCATGGATGCAGTGTTTTTTTTTCTGGGGGTACTCAAGGGTGCGCAGTACTGGCACCTTTTTCTGGAAGAAAAGCACTGGTTAGAAGTGTGGCACTTACTGTAACAACTTCATGGTGAGTACCGACACCATTTTTTCTAGAAGAAAAGCACTGCATGGATATATTATGTGCCACTAGTAGTTGCCTGTGGTGCATGGGGTGGTGCATCACAGTGCTGTCCAGATTTGGGGCACTTAAATATGGCAATGCAAGGCCAGGGGTCAGCAAACTTTTTCAGCAGGGGACCAGCCCACTGTCCCTCAGACCTTGTGGGGGGGGGGGGCGGACTGTATTTTGAAAAAATAATAATGAACGAATTCCCTATGCCCCACAAATAACCCGGAGATGCATTTTAAATAAAAGCATACATTCTACTCATGTAAAAACACGGATTCCCAGACCTGTCAGTGGGCCGGATTTAGAAGGCAATTGGGCTGGATCCGGCCCCTGGGCCTTAGTTTGCCTACCCATGCTTTAGGCACTTAACAGGTTCCCCGAGTGCTGGAACTGTAATTAGCGTCCTAGAAGCTGCCTTATAGCAGAGCTGTATCCTGTCTTAGGTGCTGTTGCGTCTCTGATTGCACAGTCACATAGCAACCTTTTATTGAGTGCTGCGCCTATGGATCTATATAACATACCGGTACTTATCATGACCGAGTCGTTTTGGAGATAAGTGTGCAAAACATGTATGTGAAAGTTTGCAGCTGTGCAGAGCATGGTCATTTGGGCGTTTACTTTCTCCCTCAGTAATTAATTGCAGAGCAATGGGTTTGCAAACAGTAACCAGTATTCATCAATCAGTCTTGGGATTTCAGTTATCAGTAAGAGAGTCTCAGTAGATTTGGGTGGGAAAACAACAGTTGTCTAGAGTTTCTAAGCATGTGATCTTCAAGGGCTCTGTTAGTTAGCTAAAACTGCTAACAATGGTGAAGATAGGACTAATACTTCATGCCTACTGATGATAAAGCCTTTGAGCTTTATATTATGAAGTTTTTCTTTCTATGACAAGAAAATCGGATGGTGCATGCCCTAGGCAGAATAATGGTCTTTTGGGAGTGTGCAAGCTTTGAAGTTCATAGCATTTTTCTGCAGGATGTGGATGCTCATGGTGGCCAAAATGACCTAACTTTCCATCTTCTGAGATGGACAGTTGTGTGGCTGAATTGTGTTTTTTTTTAAATGACACCCAAACCAGTGTTTGGGTTTGGCAGCCCACAAGAAGGCTTAGCAATAAGTTTATTCATATCACCTTATCTTTTTGTCTGGCTTGCACATTGGCCACAAGAAGGGCCTTATGAGATGACAGGATGACATTTGCAGCTGACATTTAAGATAAGGATTTAAGATAAGATTGTTATCCCAGTCCCCTCGCTGAAGAGTGCTTGTTTGCTGCTGTGCCTTTTCCCATTTCTTCAGCCTCAACTAAAGAGTTAAGTTTCTTAGAAGGAAATCCGGATCCCTCTGTTTGGAAAAGATGTAATATAATCAACAGAGGCTGCACATGATCCAGCATCCAAGCCAAATGAAATCACCTGACTGATTCCAGTGCCATCTTTGCCAACTGTAATTAGCTTTCTTTGTTTTTTTTAACTGGGAAGTGGTGCTAAAGTGTGATCAGCAGTTCAATATTGTCAACAAGTCCTAGGCAGAAGCAAGAGGAGGGAAAGAGTTATCTTTAAAAAAAAAATATCTAAGTAGCCAGTAGCTGAAAGCTCTTGTATTTCTACAGGCAAACGTATGACCTGACCTCCCCCCCATCATAGAACTGTAGTGTTGAATGGGATCCAAAGGGTCATCTTGTCCAACCCTCGGCAATGCAGAAATCACAACTAAAGAATGGGCATCCAACCTCTGTTAAAAAATTTCCAATGAAGGAGAGACCACCACCTTTCAATGTAGTCAGTTCCACTGTTGTACAGCTTACTGTCAGAAAGTTCTTTCCAGTCACTCTCCATGAGATGATATCTTAAGGAGCTCCCTAGATATTATCACAATGGAAAGAAGAACAGCAAGCATTTAATTTGCCTAGGGCAAAGAAAGCTCTTGGGCTAACCCTGTTTCTAGCCATTTGCAAGTGTTCAATTATCCTTGTCCTCAAACCCCCCAGGGCAAAATAATCTCACAGCTTCTTCCAACCCAAAGGCCTGGTAGGATGGCTTATACTAATAAAGCAATGGACTGCTAGCCAACTGCACTGTTAATGGTCTTCTAATTGTAATAAGTTTACTTGTTTATCAATCATTGGCTTCAACAGGATGCACAGATACAATGAGCCATGTGCTAAATGCCACAAATGATATCATTTGCTACTAAGCACAGGTCTAGGCTGAGCATGTCTAGGCAATTCTCTTCCATCCAACTACTGACTTGGCATGCAACCTTAGGCCACTCACTTAATATCTTATCTTCTACCTGCTGCAGAACAATACTAATCATATACACCACATAAAAGTGCCATGCTTGCAATGCCTCTAACAACTGGGTTCACCTGGGGGTATTTGGTAGCTCCAAAGCCCTGATGAGGACATCTAGCACATCTCAGATAGAAAGCTT